AGGTGTGTTAAATAATTATAGACCTGTCCGAGTCACCCTTATTTCAGTATGCTCATTTTTGAGTGGAGCCAATATTTTTATGTTTATAGAGGAAGTCTGGTCGCCTAGCGAGGTTTCTTGTGTATAGCCTTGTGTCAGACCACCAGGCTTCCACGTATAAGCGTATTTGATATTGCTTTAGAATATCGATGGTTCACAACGAGGTTAGCAACGGTAGAGAATAGACAAACACCATTAGGTATGAAAGGCATAACAAAATATAAGTTATTTTAACAACAAATTGACAGGATGAAGAAAAGGAAAAATGCAGTGTCAAGTTCTTGTTTTCTGGATAGTGGTCCAGCAAATCTGTGCAACGTAATATTGATGTTGATGGTCGAACGTTGTTGCGCGCCCAAAATAGCGCCAAATGTTCTTGAAGAGGAAGCAGCCAAAAACGCGGAAAAGATTGATTGTAAGAATCTACCTTTTTTGAATAAACGGTACAAGGGAGGCAACTTTATGAATGTTTTCTTATGGTAAAAGAAGAAGAAGAAGAATCAAAGGAAACTTAGAAACAGAATTAACCCGGTCATTTATGAGACTCCGGCGCGAGTTCGACCAAGATAGAATCACCGAGTTTATAAGTTGGAAGAAAACGTTCGTCACAAAGAATGAAAGACCCAGAAGATACAAATACCACGTGTGAAGACTCGTGGGTTCCTGATTTACTTGTTGGAGGTAATGTCCGTTCGATACTGAGGGTTAGAGATGAATGCTGGTTGCTTTTTGGAAGAGAATCTCGTATTATGTAGGAAGGTCGGAAAGTTAGGCTAAGATTATGAAAGCTAGATTCAGGCAAGAAATTGACTACAATGTAACCCGGATATAAGAGAGTTTTCGGGACCGGGGAAGAAGTCTCTTATATCCGGGTTTCTCTTATATCCGGGTTTGGTCTATTTTATATACATTAACACAGGCTCTAATTTGGGACCAGAGAAAATCTCTCTTATATCCGGGTTACACTGTATAAAAAGTCTATTACTGAAGTGTAGGTGTTTGGAGCGTATAGTGTAGAGGGAGAGACGGAAAACGGGTCTTCCCGACTCGATGCCCGGAGTCTCTCGCACGTGGATACTTTTTGGCGGGGGTCCGATAAATCACGTGACCTTTGACTGGCGACAAGTGCCAACCGTCAAAATTTGAATAGGTGTTCATTCCAAAACGGTCACGTGCCTTAACGCTGAAAGTGTTGGGTCGTTGCTGAAAGGGTAGCAACGACGATGAAGGAAAGAGAAAGAGAAAAGGTTCGAGGCAACCGTTGACGGAAGAAGCGGGTGTGTCGATATGTTTTATTTTTAGAAAATATTTTAAAGAAGCAATTCAATTGTTTAGCGAAATAGATTTTAACAATAATATTTTTGTCATTAAGCAACAAACCAATGTACACATTTGTAAATTAGTGAGACATTTTTATTTAAAAAACAAAAATTTACATAAATTAACAAAAGTATTTTATAAAATTTTATATAATAAAAAATGTAAAAAAATAAAGGTTAAATAAAAATATAACTATAGTTTGTTTATTACATTTTCTCTTGAGGTGAGCACTTTAAAAACATTTATTAGAAACAGAAATTAAACTAACACGATTTCTTTAAAAAAAAAAAAACTGTTAAAATGAAAGCAGACGGTTTGTAAAAAAATGTCGAGGTTAAAATTTGTTTTTTAAAAATTTGTAAAAAATAGGCTCATGTGTGATTGTCTCAAAAATAAAGTTTGTGAACAGGTGTGTATCTGTTTAATAATACATTTTGAGAAGTTTAATCAATGGTAAAATAAGTCACACCCATTAATTTTGATTAAATTTTGATGCGATTTGTACCTATTTACAAAGTTTCCTTTGTTTGAAGGACAGAAAGCTTTCATATGTGAATGTCTGTGGTTTCTTTCTGGGATCTGACTCTGCCAAATCATCAAGAGGTGTGGGTAATTTGAGTAACCGATTTGGGCAAACGTTCCAGCCATAAGAAAATTTAAAAGTCGACGACGAGGAAAAGGAAGAAACAGAAGTAGAAATAAAAGGAAGAAACAGAAAGAAGATTCTACAAATTTAGAGTGATACATGATGTAGGGATACAGAATGCTTATCTCCCTTTGGCGGAAGACAAGTCACATGAGAACCGCTTCGTGACGTCACTCCATACGAGAAGGTTGCTTTCTTCTAAATTTGCTTTTTCCAACAGCTTAAAGTACATGGTGCCGTTTTCCTTTGGGACATTTCTAAAAAAATGGCTTCTCCAAGATCAAGAATATCTCTAAATTATATGTAAGACCTTTCCGTTTGTTCCTCCTCATATTTTGCTTTTCTATGTAGACATATGTGATATATAGTTCTCCACCGAAGACACGTGTATATATGTATATTTATAGTTTTGTGTATGTCGTAGTATTATAGATGTCTCTGAGAACAAAGCATATTTGTCATTCTTTTTCCTTTCATCCATCCCATCCCCTCCTCTCTGTGAGATACGGTGTTGTTATACCACGGATATAACAATGCTTATGACGGGAGAAACGTAATTTTCCCAAGCAAGTGTGAATCTAAAAAGGACTTTTCAAAAATTACTATATATCTCAAAGACGCTCGTGGAGTAAGTTGTAGTGGAGTAAGTTACTGAAGTAGCTAATCACTAAAAAGTAAAAGTAGGTGTTTTCGTTTTTTGTTTTCTGAAAGGTGGTTGCAGATTTGTTTTTCTACTGTCTTGGATTGTTTTCTCCTTTTGTCATTGAATCCTTGTGTTTTCCTAAACTGTCACCTTTTTTCATTTTTTCGATGGTAATCCCTTTTTCGAAACATCAGAAATTTGTTATCTTGCCTTAATAGGCGCACAAAAGGAAATTTTTGTTCAAATCTTGCATTTGTATCTTTTTTTGTCTTGTAATAATACATGTCTTGTGTAATAAATGTTTTCCTTTAAAATTTTACGCAGTCGTTGACTTGAGTTGGGAGTTAAATTTTTTTATAAATCTCAACCGGAAGACAGATTCAAGTCCCAGAATAGAAAATTTATTTCAGCGTCTTCCAGAAAAGTATTTAAACGAAACAAACTTTCAAGTCGAAGTTTTCAGTAAATTACAACATCTGCTGAAACCACAAAATCCCTTTGTACAGTGACATTCCTATTCAGTTGTAGAAATTAGGTGGGTGCGCTTTTGTATTTTCTGGCTTATGTAAATGTTTTTCCTGAAAGTTTTCCCTTTTTTTTAAATTTCTTCAAAAGGTGTAATCTCTTTTGCTGTATAATGGAACTGTTATCCTGTCTTTTTTTTATATAACGGAAGTTATGCGTGAATACTGTCTTATTTTGGTAGATTTATTATCATAAATAAGTAGGCCCTGGTCTTGCAAACTTCCGGCGTTTTCCGGTCGTGTTCAGTCTTTTATTCTTCTTCCTCTTTTTATTTGGGGGTTGCCTTCTCGTTAGTAGAGAGATAAGCATATATAGAGAAAATTGAGAGAGAGAGAGAGAGAGAGAGAGAGAGAGAGAGAGAGAGAGAAAAGGGTTTTAAAGGAAAGCGAAAATGCATTACTTTAATTTTATTTATTTTTATTTTTGCTTATATATTTTATTTTTATATTTTAATTTTATATTATTTTTATCGGGACTCACTACAAGTATAAGAGAGACACGTGTTCTCTTTTGCCATTCTATTCCTACTAACTAAGTTTTTGTGTTAGGCATAAATATTTATTTGGGGGGGGAGTTAACATTTTTACAGGCCTAAAGAATGTTAATCTAGAAAGTGGGCATGTCTATTTAAGTAGTAACATTTATAATAATATAAAATAATTAATACTAAATTTAAGCAGTAACACTCATTTAATTTATAGCAATTATATAATATTTTAACGAAGTAAATTTTAGTTCTAAAAGTCACTTATTAAAATATTATTATATATATAATTTCATTAAATGGAATCGTATATGATTTACAGTTTATATTACTTATTTATCAAGAATTATCATCCTTTACGTTATTAAAACATTACCTATTTGAAATGAGTTAAAGAATATCTCTACCATAGAAAACTGTACCTTATGATTTTCCTTCCACAACTCATCGCCTCCCAAACTTGTCTGCTACTCTCTTTGTGGGTGACGAATTATTTTCCACCCTACAACCACTTTCTTACAGACGAAACATTGCAAGCCTCTTGCTGTTCTATTTATTGGAAATTTGTCCCGGCTTTCCAAGATGAAAAGGTTACGGTTAAGGTGACAGAATCAAATAGAAACAATTGAAGAACATGTTTATTTACATACACAAAAAAGGTAAAGGTATATGCAAAAATATGAGAGAAAGAAAGCTAGAAGAAAATTCCTTCAACTTAAAAGAAGAAAAAACCTCTTCATATAAAGGCTTGCTCAAATATTTCTCTGAGCCTAAAAGTTCTTTAAGCAACTAAATTGTCCTTAAGAAGTTAACACTCACAGAAGATTTCTTCAAAGATCTTTTTGAGAGGGTAAACAATCCAAAGATCCGTAGTTTGTAGTTGAATGAGATCGTAGGCCGACAACTGGAATTTCAAGGTTCTAGGAATCAGATCTCGAGTAGTTTTAGTATAGGGCCGACGTCTAGAGCCCAGCATGTAGATTTCTTCCTTGAAACAGGTTCCAAAGATGATTGGTGTTACTCTCGCCGAACTGATATTGTCACATTTAATAAACACACCTCAATGTGTGTCTTGTGTCAATGGTTTGTGGTCAGTGTAGATGGTAAATTCTCTACATTCCAGTAAGCATTGGCAATGTTTGACGGCCAAGTAAATAGCCAGCAGCTCCCGAGTGAAGGTGCTCTGGGCTGGCAAAAGCTTAGCCGAATAGAAAGCGATGGGTTTGCGTTGTGAATCGAATTCTTGCTCAACCACCGCGCCCACTCCTGCGTCCGACGCGTCGATTGTCAGGGATAGTCGCGTTCGTGGATTGTCGTTAATATATGAAATCTGGTGGAATTCGCTAATGCAGTCTTCGCTGTGTGAAATGCGTGCAGAGAATCTCCCTCCACCGTGATGCCCTTGTTCTTTCTCTGCAGCGGTTCGTCAGGGGCTGAATAGTAGCACAATTCGGGATTAATCGTCGATAGAAATTGATCATCCCGAGAAAATGTCGCAATTGTTTAATAGACATCGACACAGGAAAATCCTGGATCGAGCTGATCTTAGCTGACATAGGTGCGATGTCGTTCGTATTGGTGTGGTGCTCAAGAAATCGATACTGGGCGCCCCCAAAATGCACTTGTCCAGGTTCGGGTTCAGGCCGTAATGCGAAAGTCGCTGGAAAACTTCTCACAGGTGTTGCCTGTGGAAGTTGACGTCATTACTGGCCGGCAAGATGTCGTCGATATATGTGTATACGTACGGTAGCCCGCGCAGGACATCCATAAGTCGTTGGAAGGTCTGGACAGCGTAAACCGAATGGCATTTTTAAGAACTCATATAGGCCAAACGGTGTTGTGACTGCCGTTTTATGGATGTCTTCCGCAGCCACGGGGATCTGATGGTATGCCTTCGTCAGGTCGATTTTTGAAAAGATGCGGGCACCCTGTAGGCCGAACGCAATGTCGTGGATATGAGGGACAGGGTAACGGTCTGGTACGGTTGATGCATTTAATTTCCTGTAGTCGAAGCATATCCGATATTCCTTGCCACCAGGTTTTAGTACTAAGTGCAGTGGTGAGGCGTAAGAGCTATCTGAAGGACGAATGATGCCGTCGCTCAGCATCTTTGTGAAATTGCTCGTTGGTGTACGCCAATTTGTGTGGTGCGAGTCGTCGCGGGTGGGAATGTGCAGGTAGTCCGCTCGTCCTGATATGGTGCTCACCTGAATCAGTGGCTCTGAATGCCAGCGTTATATACGCGAACTGATTCAGGAGATCCAAGTACTCGCGACCATGGCATGTTACGACGCTGATTCCTGTGGTGCTGTGGCGTGTAGATGTACCAAAGACGCGGAGATTCGTTGTTTTGTCGGATAGGGTCCTAGAGTACCGCCAGTTCGTAATGCGCCAAGAAATCCGCGCCGAGGATGGGTATCTTCACGTTGGCCACGGTGAAAATCCAGGTGAAATCTCGTCGCATGCCAATGTCCAGTGTGGGGGTCTTTTCTCCGTATGTGTCTATCGCGGAAGCATTTGCAACTCGTAGTTTGAACAGGGTGGGCTTAGCGGTGTGGTCGTTCTGATAGGATCTGTGTCTACTAGGAATTTTAGTTTGTTCCGACGATCCTATACAGAGAAAAGACCACACTGTGTGATGTTACCGGACGAGTTAGCCGTCGCCATTCTCCGTTTTATTCGTTTCCCTGGATCGATGGGTGCTTACAGGGAGGTTTTCAGATCCTGGCTTCATTGCCAAACGTGCGATGAAACCAAAAAAATGCTCTGGTCGCTTCGCCGTTCTCGGCTCGAGGTTCGTCTCCGTTTTTGTCGGTATGGTCTCCTTCTCCGTGGGCGCAGAGAGATCTGTATTTCCCGTATTTGTCTCTGCAGGTCGGCCAACGCCCGTTCTGTCGCGCTCTGCTTGTAGCGTTCGCGCTTCGTTGTGTCGGGGGTGTGAACTGCGTTTACGCCGTGGTCAGATTGGGCGAAAACTAGGTCGGCAGACTCTGCCAAATCATCAAGAGGTGTGGCTCTCGTCATCAGGGCAATAATTTGAGTAACCGATTTGGGCAAACGTTCCAGCCATAAGCCACGGAGAACCTTCTCTGACACGTTGTGCTGTCCCAGCTGGTTCCTCATGTATCTGAGAAGCTGGGTTGACGTCTTGTCACCTCTGGTGACGTTTTGCAGAATCTCTTGGAACGTCCAGTACGCTTAAGGATCGCTTCCTTTAAGTGACTGTACAGTACTTCTTCCGGTAAATCCGAGAGGACATCTGAAATTTCGTCCATCATATCGGACAGGAGTCTTTGTATCACGTTCGCGAACTTGGCTCATTGGGAAGTGATCCTTAACATTGAAAAAAATTGATTGAACTTGCAAGAACCAGTTCTTTGCATTATGGTGGTATGCCGGTAGCGGTATGATGGCGGCCGTCATGTCTGGAGAGTTACTCTTGACCGACTCCATCATCGCTTAGCTGTCTCACGTCGGGGAGTCACCACTTGTTGCTGGGCCGATAAGGAGAACTGATCGGTTGTATCGACGGCGGTATCTGGTCGATTGCCGAGTCGAGGTGTTATCGAGACGATCAGGGCGAGTCCCTAAATAGCGCCGAGTCAGTGAGATGATACGTTCTCCAAGGCAGATCGGCCACGGGAGCGGGATCGCGCCCAAGAGTATTTCCCGACGAAGCTGGAGTCCCTAAACAGAAGCGAGTCAATGAGCCGATATGTCTTCCAGGGCAGATCAAGCTCGGAGGTGGGATCGCGCCGAAGTTATCTCTTGACGAAGCACGGGAAGATCGCAAAGGCAGTGTACGGATATACACTTTGATCCTAGCCCAGGGCCGAGCAGCTGATATTTATTATGTAAAAATACATAATTGTGGCACAAGGCCAAAAAAGGGGAGGGGTTGAGGCTGATCATCACTATCTTATACCTAGCTAATCCAATTCACGACCCATTCACTATTACAATATCCGCATTCACCATAAAAAATCGTCCGTCACCAATCGATCCACCATACACCATAATACCGCATTCTTTCAAGGGGAACCTACAAAACGCGCCCCATGCTATAAAAATTAAACGATAGTAAATTATTATATTTAAAAATCTAATCATGACGAATGAGAGGGAAGGGAGATGAACCCAATAACAAACTAAATATAAACACAAAGCAAACTAAACATAACTTATGTTAGTAAGGCCCGTCCAACCCTCAAAAAGGAGAGGCCGCTGTATTCCGCCTATTGGACACAATCAAGAGGCTCTCTCGCTAAAGGGAGTGGGAAAAGGAAAAAATATGACGGACATGGGAAATATAAAAGCTGACCCAGTCGAGATAAAAGGGAGCCAAAACAAACTGGGGAGGTTGGGAATCTCAACTTGGATCATAACCAAAGATGCAACCGGGAACATGCCACTTACTCACATTAACTAGACACACAAAAGCTTGTCTAACATAACCAAGGGGAGGGCTCCACAGGAAACCACCCCGATGTGACGTAGGTTGACTTAAAAGAGAAAATCAAGCGTCGTCTAAATCACTATTCGGGTCGTGGCCAGCAGCGTCAGAAACCCCATTCGTTTCACCCCAGAATACGGAAGCGACACATTGTCACACGCGTATGCGCGATCAATGAGCACGAGCTTTTCGGGAGCGAGACGAGCCGTCAACTCGCCGACATGGTCCCATAAGGGGCGGGCCCGGGAACAATGGTAGAAGGCGTGCGAAGCCGTTTCTTCTAAACCAAGGTCACACCGTTCACAGTCTGGCATATCCACCAAGCCCCACATGAAGACCATGCTATTAAGAGGCAGCCGATTCCGCGCCAATCGCCAGGTAAGCGAAAACGTACCCTAGTTACTGAGATAATCCGCCAATGGGGGCCCAAGACAAGAAAGAACGATACTCCTCCTCCGACAAGTCGAGCCGTTTACGTAGAGGATCCTTCGCGGCCCTCTCCACTAAATATCGATAGAAGACCCTCCTAGGCCGTGAAAGGTCACTGGACTGAGGAATGATCGTCAAGGCGTACCGACACTCGCGAAGGAAATCCGATTGATCCCGAGGTTTACGATGGCGCTCAACCTGCGAGATGGGGGTGGGGCTGATAGTAAGGAAAGGGAACGCGTCCTTGACAATCTTCGCCATAATCGAATCTCCTGTCAATGCGAGTTTGTGGCTCACCAAGTTTGGCATTCCCAGCCCCCCATCCGGGCCGAGCAGCTTGATTTTTGTCGGAAAAAGGGGCTAAGATTATATCAAACGGTTTGTTCAAGTACTCCCTGTCATGACATGAGTTACCTTCCATGGATAACCAGTTACTTCCTGGAATCGAAAAATGGAAGAATAGTAGGAAAATATGCAGAAAATCGTGAATAAAATGATAAATGTACTAAACCTGAACAAAAGTAGGAAAAAAAGTAAAACAGTTAAAGAAAATTAAAAAATATTAAAAAAAGAACAAAATTAAGAAAACGGAGAAAGATAGTGTAAAAATTGGAAAATAATTAAAATGGAAGGTAAGTAAAAAAAGTAAAAAAATAGTGAAGAAAATAGTAAAATTAAAAAAATAGTGAGTCACAGGAAGAAAAATAGTGAAGAAAATGTGTGAGAATTGGTCGGAAGCGCACGCACACACAAACTATATACAAGTCCAATGGGCAAAATAGTGGTATGCAGTCCAATAGGCAAATCAGTTCTACAAATGCCTGTGAACACTATATTTTGGTTTTTTATCTACTAAATTTAATATAGTCTGCTTCTTAGTTGTTTTGTTTTACTTTGCTATGAAGAAGCCGAAAACAAAATCGGCAGTATAGTTCTTTGTCTTAATAATATATTTATTTATAATTTAAATGTATTAATTTAGCACTATTATTAATTTTCTCCAAAATGAAAGTAGTAAAATGGAAATAAAATCAGAACAAAATTAAAATAAGAGGAAACAAATAATGAAGAAAATGACAAAAATTGTAAAATGAAATAAAAGTAGTGAAACAGAAGAAAATATTGAAGAAAATAACAAAAATTATGAAATACAAAAAAAATTAAACAGGAAAAATCATGAAAATGACAAAATAAAAAAAAGAAAAGAAAAGAAAAATGTAATAAAAGTAGGATATTAGGAAGAAATAGTGAAGGAAATTACAAAAAAAAAAAAAAAAGAAAATGAAAAACAGAATAACAGTGAAGTAAATGATGATTAAGTGTAGCAAATGTAGAAAAAAATTACGAAAATAATAAAATGGAATCAAAGTCAGAAAACTGAAAATTCAGGAAGAATATAACACATAAGTAAAATGAAACTCAAAAGGAAGACGTAGAAAATAGTGAAGAAAATGACAGACACAGTAAAATGGAACAATAATAGGAAAACAGTAAAGAAATTAGTGAAGAAAAGAACAAAAATTAAGTGGAATAAAAGTAGTAAAACAGGAGTAAATGATAAATACAGGGGAATAGAATAAAAGTAGGAAAATATGTTGGTAAATAATAAAGAAAATGACCAAAATAATACAAAGCTAAAAAATCGGAAAACAGTAAGAAAGAAAAAATGAAACAAAGGTATGAGAAGGGGGAAAATAGTGAAGAATATAACGAAAATAGCAAAATGAACAAACGTAGGAAAATAAACTGAATCCCAACAAAGTAAAATTAAGCAAATATAGAAAAAGATGTAGAAAAAAACAAAAATATTAAAAGTAGAAAAACTGGTTGAAAAATATTGAAGAAAATGATAAAATTATTAAGATTGGGTGTAAGCAGGAAAACATGTATGGAAAGTGTGAATAAAATGAAAAAAAATATGAAAAAGGAACAAAAGTAGAAAAATATTGAAGAACTTGAGAAAAATATAGGTAGGTAAATATAGATAATAAAATGACAAAAATAGTGAAGTTGAATCAAAGTAGGAAAATTAAATAAAAATAGCGAAGGAAATGACCAAAATATGAAAATATGACAAAACTACTTTTGTCATATTTATGAAAATTGAAAGAAAATATTGTAGAAAATGTCAAAAATAATAAAGTGGAACGAAAGATGAACACATGTAGAAAACAGTGAAGAGAAAGACAAAAATAAAAAATGAAACAAAAGTAGGAAAAGTGAAGAAAAATAATAAGAGAAATCAGCAAAATAATAAAATTGAAGTATGATAACATGGTGAAAATAGTGAGAAAAATAGTATAATGGAATATAATACGAAAATAGATATAGAAGTAGTGAAGTAGTGACAAAAATAGAAAGTTGGAACAAATTTTGGGAAACAGAAAAATAGGGAAAACAATGATAGAAATAGTGGAATATAACAAAAGTAGGTAAAGAGATAAAAAAAAGAAAATGACAAAAACAGAAAACAAAAATACAAGAGTATACAAAGAAAATGACAAAGAGATAAAACCTCTTGAAAACTAGTGTATTTCGCTAGAAAACTATAGTTTTCAGTAAGATTGTGTATCATCATTCAACTTTTTTATATACAGCATGAAAAACAGCTATATTTCCGTGAAATTTGTTTCTTTTTACATTATTCGGACTATTGTCCTCATCTTTGTCCATATTTGTGATAAAGATGAGGACCGAATAATGTAAAATAATGTAATCTCAGAAATATAGACAGATATGGAAATCAGCTATATTTTCGTCAAATTTATTCTTTTTTATTTAGAAATATGAAAATTATCTTTATTTTCGAAAGATTTCTATATTTTTATTTAGAAATATTAAAATAAGCTATTTTTGTTAAATTTATACAGTTTTATTTAGAAATATGAAAATCAGCCATATATTTCCGTTAGAGTTTTGGCTCTTATTTTGCAATAAAAAAAAACAATCACATTTTCGCCTACTTTTTTTTCGAAATATGTAAATCAGTTATATATTCGTGAAGTTTCTACCTTTTTATTTAGAAATGTGAAAATCAGATATATTTTGGTCAGATTCCTTCATATTCATATTCCTTTCATATTTCTAAAGAAAAAACTTTAGAAATATGAAAGTCAGTTAGCTTTACCCCGTTTCTACTTTTTTATTTAGAAATATGAGTCAGTTATATTTTCGTCAAGTTTCTACTTTCTGTAGATATGAAAATCAATTATGTTTTCGTCAAGTCCATACATATCTATTG